GTGATAGCTTTTATTAGACCAACTAGACAGTTGCAAAAAAAAAAAAAATCTTTCTTTGTAAGCTTTTGGGTGCACACCCTTCCTCAAGCATACGAGAATGCAAAGATTGTAAAATTTCTTGCAGGTAGAAATGAAAATTCATATTGTACAGGAGAACTGGAGGGTGGTGTAATTTCTCCTGGTTGGAAAAGTTCATTTTATTCAAATTGGGCTCGGATAAATTTGAAGCTGTCTATTTACCTCAAAAGTGTCTGATGGCAAGCAGGATGGTGAATTATGCTCTTTTCTTGTTAAGGTTTTTCATATTTCACAAGGTATGACCTTGGTAATGGAAAGGTTCTCCTGGGCAAGGAATTTCTGAAGCTGCCACGCTTTGAGAGCTTTTCTGTTCACACACAGTGCTGGTGCACTGTCGGCTCTGCTGCTGGTTACCTAGCCTTACACAGGCACGCACTCCCGCACCATTCAGCTGTGTTTTGCAGTCCTTGCCTCTCTTAAGTGAAAGCTGATAGAACTGACATCTGGGCTCAGATAAATACATCCCCAGCTGCAGAGGAAGAGGGAGGTGGGGGCGGGGATCTCCTCCAGTGGACATAGTTGCAACACTGTCCCTGAGGAATGGCATGCCAGCCTTCCCCTGGCTTTGAACTGCAAGCTTTCTCATTTATTTTGCAAGCCTCCCACGCAGACTGGGAGTAGGGGAAAGCATGCGGGGGAGGGGCTGCTTTATAGCTTCATGTTCTCAAAGGCATCACTTTCTCAATCCCGTCTGGACACTTCCTCCGCGCAGCCACTGCAGTGCGTATCTTGTCACAAACATTAGAACCAGGTTAGAATTGGAGCAGAATGTTGGAACTGGGTCGGAATGTTGGACACAAAATCCTGCTTTCCCATTGGTTACAGGAGTGGCTTTTAATTGCTCTGAAGTGTCTGCAACTTTGACGATGCAGAGTGCTTGAAGTTCTACAGCCCGAAAAAGTGGAGGAGTTTTCTCTTGGCCCTAGTTGCAGTCCAGTTGAGATGAGGATCCATATCTGAGCCCTGCTTTCCCCAGTTGGAAGATGGCCAGCACCAGGCCCTAGTTCTGGCCCCACTTACAGCACTGTGAAATAAGAAGTCACCTTCTCAGCTCAATAGAGGGAAAATTCAGTATGAGAATCAGCACTGGGCCTTTTATCATCATCATTAAGCCTGTTACACTGAGAGAAAAGAGCCTCAAAGCTCTCTATAATGTCTCTATAATGATTTCTGAGCCAGGCATCTTTTGGAGGACAGCGAGCATTTTGCCTCAGGCCGTCAGCTCCCGGAGCTGGCCATTTGCTGGCAAAAGCTACCTGACTTGGAGGCTGTTCTTGCTTAAGTAGCTGAATAGTAAAGTCAGTTTAGAGCCTTTTGGAGCAAGCAGGCAGAGAACGCTCTAATCGGCAAACGTGCCCAGAGCACTGCTCAGAGGGAGGAGCTGTTCCAACTGAATGCACTTGACCCTGAGTGCAAGCATGCCTAGAAACTGCCTGGTGCGGGGCAGGGATTCCCTCCCCAGGCCCAAATAGCAGAAGGCTGGTAAGAAGAGGGAAGTGGTTTCGCAGGAACCTGTCCTTTACATTATCAGTAGATTCATGTCTGGGCAATTATAAAATTAGCTACATAGGGAGATCCAGCACAAAGGGGACTCCCCAGAGACTGGGACAACTTGGAGGTGGGGGCGCAGATCCACAGCTGGTATACACCAGCATGGCCCTCCCCTCCCCCCCATGCTGCCTGCAGGGGAGCTGGGCTGGTGTGCCCCAGGCATGAATTGTGCTGCCCACTTGTTCCTCTTGCTTTGCTTCTTTTTGATTCTTTTGCTTCTGAATGAATGGTGGAACATTGCAATCCACATGGGCTTAGGGACAGACATTACACATAAACCAGTTTAAGTGATTAGAAACTGGTTTAAATCTGTAACAGACCAGATGTTCAGTGCACATAAACCTTTTTGAAAATGGCTGAAACAGGTTTGAGATAAACCTAGTTGAATGTAGTATCAGACTTAACTGATTTGGGTCAAACAGGTTTATGCAATGTCTGTCCCAGACCCCTTCCTGGTTTAAATTAAATCAGAGTCCCCTAGCATCCTGGCATGCTCTCCAAGCTGGGCAGGGCTCTCTGCTCCAAAAAACTGGGCTGGCCCCTCCCCTCTGCTGCCTAGCTGCAGCTCCGACAAGAGACTGCAGGTACAGGACATCTGCCTGGCTTCCTCCTGCTCCCCAACTCCCTCTCACCACTCCCTGCTGAAGCAGGGATTCCCCCCTCCCCTCTGCCTTACACAGACACCTCACAGCATTAGGTAGCATACCACATGCTGGCTATGGTCTGTGCTGTGGGAGATGGGACAAAGGCAGACAGGACACTGTCAACACAGGGCTTTTTGGAGCTAATCAACAGGTAGCTAGTAATGTCCCTCCATTCTTTCCTTGGAAAAAGTTGTTTAAGAGCTTGAACTAATGAAAGAAGTTTTATTTTCTTAATGGGCTGATAAACAGTGAGTCAGGGGTGATAAACACTGTGTTATCAACTCCCTGCTAGGCTGCTAGGTGGGAGGAAACCCTTCCCTAATCAGAAGTCCTGCCCAGGCCTGACCATGTTCCCCCCCCTTTCCCGGCTTCTAGCCTGAGCCACTGCAGGCATGGTCCTGCATTTCTGGAATTAAAAGGGAATGTCTATCCACCTTCAAATTGATTCAAGCTTTGCAGGTTAGACTAACCTCCAAAGCTTGAATCAATTCAGGCTCAGGTTTATTGAATGTCTGTCCCTAGCCATAGACACCAATGCTGCAATGCACAGGCTGGTTATAGCCCCTCTTCTGAGGAGCTAAGAAGCTTTGGCCTTGGTCACAAAGATGCTATTTCCACATCAGGTTCCCTGACTGCCACACAAAATTCATGCAACCAGAATTCACCTGCCTATCTCTGAAAGGAGCCACCTCTAGGGTAGACAGTGGCAGGTGACTCTGAGCCCATAATAACACTCACCACCAAGAAAAGGCTGGTAGGGAACTACCTGGGATATATTAGGAACAGCAAATCCTGCATTTGTGCAGGGGATTGGCACCCCAATATGATATGGCCTAGGTTTCTTATATTCCCCTGTGCACATGTACACATATGCATGCAGCATAAGTTTCCCTTCTCTCCCTTCTGCCCCTTCCATGGGCACTGGGACACATGTACAGAGTCTGGTTCTGATCAACTGCTGACCTCAGTGGGAATGGAAAGAGCTCAGTGCCTCTCAAGGTGAGGCTCTAATAGCTCAGCCCACCCTTCCCCTCCACCTTGGCTGTGCTGTCACATGGAAAGGGAACTCAAGCTTTATGATTTTGCAGGACTAAACAGTTGCATCTCACTACACTGTCTCTTTAAATCCCATTATGCTCCTCCCAACCTGCTACCTGAACAGCACTCCTTCATACCACACCTAGCTGCTTTCTCTTAATGTGCTTCAGAGGGTTCATCTATAACATGCATACCCCCTGCTCCCCCGCTGGTATAAACACCTGCAATCTATGCTGTACATTACCCTCCACTCCCCATTGTGGCAGACATGAGTAGAGATTGCTCAGCATCCCTAGACTTCTCTGCATCAGCAGTTCTTTGCTGCAAAGTTTCCTTCGGCCCAAAGTTGATAAACCTGCACAGCTACGCTGATACAGATCAAGTGTGGTTTTGGTCCTGGGTCCAGTACTGTTCAAAAGCTTCATTGATGATTTGGAGGATGGAACTGACTACACACTTACTAAATTTGCAGATAACCCAGCTAGGTGGGATCACAGACAAGTTAGAGGGCAGGAATTGATACAAAATGAGCTGGATTCATTGAGGAAAAAATGGTCCGATATTACTTGGGTGTGCCATATATGAGGCACAAGAAGTAGTTCTTCCTCCCTATTCAGCACACTTGAGGCCTCACCTGGAGTTCTGTGTCTAGTTTTAGGCACTGCACTTCAAGATGTGGACAAATTGGCAAAAGTCCAGAGGAAAACAGCAAAACTGATTAGAGGTCTGGAAAACATGACATATGAAGAATGATTGGAAGAACTGGGGCTGTGTAGGCTAGAGATGAGAAAACTAAGAGCAGATGTGAAAGCAGTCTTCAGTACAAAAAGGGTGATTATAAAGAGGATGGTGATCAATTGTTCCCAGTGTCCTCAGGAGACAAGACAAGAAATAACACTCATAAATTGCAACAAAAGAGATTCAGGTTGGATATTAGAAAGAATTTTCCAGGCATGTACATGGGTAAGCATTGGAAAAAACTACCTAGAGAGGATTTGGAGTCTCCATCACTGGGAGTTTTTAAGACCAGGTTAGACAGATGCTTGTCTGGGATGGGTTAGTCAGGGATGCTCCTGCCTTCAGTATAGGGCAGGACTAGATGATCTATCAAGGTCCCTTCCAGCCCTATTTTTCTGTGGTATACTAACCAAAAAGTTCCCTCTCATTGCAATAGCAGTGGCATTGGTAATGCCCTCATTGTCTTTGTTTCTACCTGTGGCATTTTGTAGGTTGTTTTGTGTATCAGTTTTTGTTTCTTGTTGGCAATGATGGTCTAAGGTGGCAATTTTGAGGATTCCTTTGTTTTTAAAAAAGGGCATGTATCTGGTGCTTGTCCTGGTAGTGCTGGTGGGTGCAGCTATCACTCAACAGCCTGTTTGGAAACTTGGCCCTGATTCTTTATCCTGAGCAGGGTAGCCTTGCTCAGTGTTGTGCGTCAAAACCTTCCTGATCCAGAAAATGGCATGAAGGTTTGCCTGCCTGTACCCAAGAAGAATAAAAAGTTAGGTCTCCCTGAGTGGATTTGAACCTATGGCTCTGGCAAATCTACCCTGACACTTAGCCCTACAATGCTGCTGGCCTCTTATATCTGAAGGGAGAATCTTTGAGCCCTTCTCCCATCCCCCAATAATTCTTCTCCATGGCATGCTCTTGGAGCCATAACCTTGAACTTGGCCTTTCTCTTGGCAGATTCAGAGGAGTGCCTATTCTGTCTTCTTTGATGAGAAGTTCTCGATTCCCTTGGACCCATCTGCACTGGAGGAAAACAGCTTGAGGTTTTCTGTCTTTGGCATTGATGAGGATGAGAGGAACATCAGCACTGGGGTAGCAGAGCTAAAGCTGTCAGACCTGGACCTGGCCATCCGGCCATTCAATGCCTGGCTGTACCTGCAGGACATGAACAAGGTGAGGTCTCATTCTGGGGCTAATGGGATTCACTGAAAATGAGAGAGAATGGGTCACCACTGGTTTAGTACTCGCTGCATCAGATCTGTGCAGAGCTGGGTTAAATGTGTCATCCCCCACAAACTCTTCACAGCCAGGACACGATATACCATAAAGTTTTTCATCTGTGCCATTTGGTTTGAACACTGGAGCTGAGACTGCAGCAAAAGAGCTTGGCATTCAGCTGAGAACCCAAGTATTGTCATCCCAGACCAGGCTATCAGGCCATTATGCCATACTGTAAAGGAAGGTTCTTGCCAGCCCATCTGGGTGGGCAGGGGAGTCCTCCCTCCTCTCTCCAGACAATCAGCTGACTCTCTGAAGCAGGATCTCTGCTTCCCCCATTGTTATCTCAGCTTTCCCAAAATGTTCCTACTGTAGACAGACCTGAGTACAACACAGTTAATGTCCAGACCCAAGAGTTCAAGGTGTTTGGCTCTGGGACTTTGGATCAAGGTTTGCTCAGGTTTTTGAATTAATTCTTCCCCCTTTAAATGCAGTAGTGGTGTTTACCTCCAAGACCTCTCCTGTCTGAGGGTGAAGTAGCATTTCCCCATCAGGGTCAGGCAGATCCATGGTTGGTATAAGACTGAGCAGCAATGTCAACACTTCCCAGTGAGAATCCAGCTCTCACTGCCATTTGGCTTCCTCTCATGCCCCTGGGGCAGAGCTGGGGGCAGGCGGTCAAGGCTTCTGTCTGGTTCTGTTGCCATTCACAATAGCTGGACATCACGCACAGGACTTTACCTGATGAACATGGATCTCTCTCCATGTAGCACCCATTGGCCTCACAGTCCCAAGTGAATTTATCCTGTGAGGTATGAAGTGCCATTGTCCCCATCTGTAAGAACCAAGCATGCAGAAGCTAAGAGACTTGCCTAAGGCCATACAAGGAGTATATAGTAGAGCAGAGATGTGAACCTTAGTCTCCAGAGTCCCTGGGCTAGTGCACTTAGCAGTAGACCATCCTTCCTTTTGACAGCGAAACCACCAGAGGCCTCTGCCCTCATACTGGTGAAGCCTTTCCTGCTTCTTACTCTTCCCCTTGATTGAAACTTGGGGGGCAGTATTGCTCTCACATGATGAATGATGTATTGTGTCCTGCAGACAGTGGACTCAGTGGGAGAAATCCTGCTCTCTCTGAGTTACCTGCCCACAGCGGAGCGGCTGACTGTGGTTGTGGTCAAAGCCAAAAATCTCGTGTGGACTAATGGCAAAGTGACTGCAGGTGAGTGCAACAAAGAGCCACTTCTGAGTGAGACTCAGGGTTGTTTTCTCTTCCCCCTAGAAGCATAGTCAGGGGAAGGCTGCAGGCTGATTAGGCCGCTTACCTGGGCCATGTCTCAGGAGCATTAGAGCATAGGGCAAGGGCGGGCAATTATTTTGGGCAGTGTGCCGCTTACAGAGTTTTGACAAGCCATCAAGGCTGCATGACAGGCAGCCAGGGGCAGATAAATATTAATTTTCTAAGTTTTTTAGGGGCCTCGTGGGTCGGATAGAATGGCCTGGCGGGCCGCATCCAGCCTGCAGGCCGTATTTTGCTCACCCCTGGCATAGGGCATTGTCATGAGTCTGGACAGTACAGCCAACCCAAAGTTAAACCACACTGAGGTCTAGGGAGCGTAGACCAGCGCCCTGGAATGTTAGCTCCAAAGCCACAGGCCTCTTCCTCATATCCTCTTCCTGGGATGTCCTGCCACTGCCACTGCCAGCAGTAGTGGTAGTTATCTCCTATTTACAGTAGCATCAGTAATACTGAGAGAAAGTCAGTGAAGGGCAATGTATTGGTCACCCAGTGGGCAGTATCACTCACAACCACAGTTTCTTTGCAGCCTTATTCACATCATGGTAGGGAGGAGGTGTCCTGTGGTTCCATGAGGATGGTTTGTTCTGCATTCATGTGTAAGGAGTTTATTTGGGTACCTCTCATGTCTGCTAATAGATTATATAGTCACGGATATTGTGGTGGCACCTACTAGGCTCAGTTATATGGCCCACCACCCCAAATGTGCTAGGGGCTTTACAAACACAGAACAGCATGATTCTCCCTGCTCTGAAGACTTAACATACCCATTTCCATTCTCTTCAACTTGACTGGAGACCTCAACGAGAGACTGCTTTTTGCATTGGTCTCTGCTTACCAATGGAGGGCAGTTGGCTAACAGTGGTTGTTTGCTCCTCTTTGTCCAAACAGATCCTTTTGTCAAAGTGTACTTGCTTCAGGATGGGAGGAAGATCAGCAAGAAGAAGACGGCAGCAAAGAGAGATGACACAAACCCGGTGTTCAATGAGGCCATGATTTTCTCAGTGCCAGCCATTGTCCTGCAGGTGAGCCTCCCTAGGACTTGGCAGGCAAAGGCTTAATAGAAGCCCTTACACCAGAAATGTTTACACAGCTCATGAGACCAACCTAACACCCAGCTTTGGGTCTACCAAGTAGAACACAGCAAAGGATCATTGTCAAGGACTACACAAGGAGACCCCATCAAAGGCACCCTAGGTCCAGACTAGAGACAGAGCTGTGAATCTTCAGTCGATCTCAGCCCTGCTAACAGTTACAGCTCCTCTGAAATCCCCCTGAGTTTACAAGCATTCTTGATGAGGAAGAGATCTTGGCTGGAGTTCCCTCAAGTTTATCAGAAACATTCAAATTAAGTCCTGTAGCTGGGGCAGGGTATATCTAACTAGAGTCATTTTGTGGCCTGGAAGGAGAATGTAATTTTCTTTGCTCCTCAGTAATCCAGAGTCTCCTGTGGTAGCAACTAATAAACCTTCCTTGAAGGAAACCCCTTCAAAAGACAGATAACAAAGGGGGAATGGTTTTTCAGTGACCTGTAAGCAAGGAAGAGCTTACTGACAAGCAGCAGTGCCATTTCTGCCGTCTTGATCAGGAATGACTGGGGACAGGAACAGGTGGATAAGGAGCAGAGAGATAAATGTATTCGCAATAATGCTGAGAAAGGCAGCAAGCAGTGGGTAAATGGAGATGGGGAAGCTAGGACTATCAGCTAAGAACCTGATAGAATGGAGGAAGCATTGCCAAGACTTTCAGGGCATGGCCAGATGAGTGGTTTTTGCTGAGGCACAGGCCCCTTCATGTGGGGTTTGGTGTGGGGCAAAATGCTCCGCTTTGGGAAAATGACTGTTTCCCGCCTCCTCCCAGCTTGTGCTGGAGGACCTGAAGGACAGCTAAAGAGGGGAAAAGCAGCCAGAGTGTCTCCCTGGACAATCTCATAGATTTCATAGACATCAGGGCTGGAAGGGACCTTGGAAGATCATCGAGTCCAGCCCCCCGCCCAAAGGGCAGGAAGTCAGCTGGGGTCATAGGATCCCAGCAAGATAAGCATCCAGTTTCATCTTGAAGGTGTTCAATGAAGGCGCTTGAACCACCTCCGGTGGCAGGCTGTTCCAGACCTTGGGGGCTCGGACAGTAAAGAAGTTCTTCCTTATGTCCACCCTGAAACGATCTTGAAGTAGTTTGTGACCATTCGACCTCGTCATCCCTTGGGGCGCTCTGGTGAACAAACGTTCCCCCAGATGCTGGTGGTCACCCCTGATAAACTTGTAGGTGGCCATCAGATCACCCCTGAGCCTGCGCTTTTTCAGGCTAAAGAGCCCCAGGGCTCTCAGCCTGTCATCGTAGGGTCTGCTTCCCTGACCTCTGATCATGCGCGTGGCTCTTCTCTGGACTCTCTCAAGCTTCTCCACATCCTTTTTGAATTGTGGAGCCCAAAACTGGACACAGTACTCCAGCTGCGGCCTCACTAAGGCCGAGTACAGGGGGAGAATGACGTCCCGGGATTTGCTTGAGAAGCATCTATGGATGCAAGCCAGCATTTTGGTC